AAAATATCTTAGCATGACAAAATCTATGCAGTAATATAAACTAGAAAGACTCCATAGGATATTAAATTGAATAAACAAAAATGACTTAGACAGCAAGTCTCCAGATCAAGTAGAGTCTAAAAAATTATAGTTTTGGTTATTTACAAACCTCTCCCATCGAAACATTCCTCATGTATAGGGCATACTATAAAGCATATATTCTAATGCAAAAATACCACATTGGACTAAAACAGCATAGCCCATAATTGTTTTATATTATTTTGAAAATAATAAAAGAAACAGCACAGACAGTTAGTAATTCATAGTGTAAGCACCTATTTGATAATGAACCAGATACATTTAACCTGAAAAGCAAGATCAAATAGTTCTAGCATAGATACCAGACATACATATGTGAGACATCTACTCCGCCCACAGCGCATATTATTTATACCACTATTGCTTTTCATTTGCCCTTCCATATTAGCCCTCAGCTTGGAGGGAGCCAGTATATTTTTCAGATTCGGTGCTTTCCTGAAAGTAATTTTAGGGAGTTCCGAAATACTAAAACATAGCAATGGATCCTTCTTGAGGATAGGCCAATACTTATAAAAAATACCTATAATATCATCAAAACCCCTATTAAACATGGTAGTAAACACAGGTGTGGTACTTTGGTACTAATATTGAACTTAGCTCTTTTTGCTGGGAGGTTATACTCATCTAGGAGATTTAGAGTGAGTTCATGATTATTGGTGTGTTGTACCCCTTCTGGATACATTTCCTGGCCAGGAAGATAAAAGGTAGAAGGGGCTTTATAACCCGAGGAGATAATAAGATACCTCAAGTATTTGATTATAATGAAGTTCATAATGAAGTTCATAGAGAAATTAAAACCATAGTAAACAAACATTGGCATTTGCTAAAAAAGATAATGAATTGGGCAAGGCTCAGATTAACCTTTTATAATTTTTAAGGGTGCCCCAAATTTTAATTTTAAATTAACCCATAATCCCCCCAAAACCAGGAACGGAAACATTTTTTAAATGATAAGAAAGGATTTTCTTCATGTAACAATTTAACTGGCTGCAAACACAGCAGGAACAAGACCCTGAAGGGTAATAATACATTTAGAACAAAAATGAATAATAATGATTTTTTTATTAATGATCTTATCACGTGTTTTACGAGGAACGGTATTTATCTTTTAATATGCCCTTGTGGTCTACAATATGTAGTACGCACTATACGCCCATTCCACAAAAGGATAAATGAGCATGTAAATAATATCTTCAAAGGTTTTATGCAGCACAACCATTTGAAGGAATGCCACAATATGGACCCAAGGGATCTGCCTTTTTTGGGTATACAGGAAATTAAAAAAACACGTAGGGGTGGAAATCAAATTGAAAAAATTGGTAGGGAAGAAATTAAATGGGTTCATAAATAAAAGACATTAAAACCTCATGGTTTGAACACAGAATTTGATCTCCACAATTTGTTATAAAATGTTTACAATATTTTTATATCCTCTTAAGTTTTAAATTTGTAAAACTTTCTTAGAGTGGGTTACTGAGTTTCTGGTTTCTAGTAATGGTTTCTAATGCTGTGATGCTGTATTTTATGATGCCTTCTCTTCTATTTATTATTTACTAATTATTGTTTTTTCCTTCCAGATAACAGGTGTTTGTAATTAAACCATATCATTTTTAATAATTTTTATTGATTTTGGGCTAGGGTATATGTTTTAACACTACATTGTATGTTATAATATTTTGTGGAGCTTATGTTTGTAAGATATATTGTAATATATATAAATATATATATATATATATATATATATATAATATAATATAATATAATATAATATATTATATACAGGGAGTGCAGAATTATTAGGCAAGTTGTATTTTTGATGATTAATTTTATTATTGAACAACAACCATGTTCTCAATGAACCCAAAAAACTCATTAATATCAAAGCTGAATATTTTTGGAAGTAGTTTTTAGTTTGTTTTTAGTTATAGCTATGTTAGGGGGATATCTGTGTGTGCAGGTGACTATTACTGTGCATAATTATTAGGCAACTTAACAAAAAACAAATATATACCCATTTCAATTATTTATTATTACCAGTGAAACAAATATAACATCTCAACATTCACAAATATACATTTCTGACATTCAAAAACAAAACAAAAACAAATCAGTGACCAATATAGCCACCTTTCTTTGCAAGGACACTCAAAAGCCTGCCATCCATGGATTCTGTCAGTGTTTTGATCTGTTCACCATCAACATTGCGTGCAGCAGCAACCACAGCCTCCCAGACACTGTTCAGAGAGGTGTACTGTTTTCCCTCCTTGTAAATCTCACATTTGATGATGGACCACAGGTTCTCAATGGGGTTCAGATCAGGTGAACAAGGAGGCCATGTCATTAGATTTTCTTCTTTTATACCCTTTCTTGCCAGCCACGCTGTGGAGTACTTGGACGCGTGTGATGGAGCATTGTCCTGCATGAAAATCATGTTTTTCTTGAAGGATGCAGACTCCTTCCTGTACCACTGCTTGAAGAAGGTGTCTTCCAGGAACTGGCAGTAGGACTGGGAGTTGAGCTTGACTCCATCCTCAACCCGAAAAGGCCCCACAAGCTCATCTTTGATGATACCAGCCCAAACCAGTACTCCACCTCCACCTTGCTGGCGTCTGAGTCGGACTGGAGCTCTCTGCCCTTTACCAATCCAGCCACGGGCCCATCCATCTGGCCCATCAAGACTCACTCTCATTTCATCAGTCCATAAAACCTTAGAAAAATCAGTCTTGAGATATTTCTTGGCCCAGTCTTGATGTTTCAGCTTATGTGTCTTGTGCAGTGGTGGTCGTCTTTCAGCCTTTCTTACCTTGGCCATGTCTCTGAGTATTGCACACCTTGTGCTTTTGGGCACTCCAGTGATGTTGCAGCTCTGAAATATGGCCAAACTGGTGGCAAGTGGCATCGTGGCAGCTGCACGCTTGACTTTTCTCAGTTCATGGGCAGTTATTTTGCGCCTTGGTTTTTCCACACGCTTCTTGCGACCCTGTTGACTATTTTGAATGAAACGCTTGATTGTTCGATGATCACGCTTCAGAAGCTTTGCAATTTTAAGAGTGCTGCATCCCTCTGCAAGATATCTCATTATTTTTGACTTTTCTGAGCCTGTCAAGTCCTTCTTTTGACCCATTTTGTCAAAGGAAAGGAAGTTGCCTAATAATTATGCACACCTGATATAGGGTGTTGATGTCATTAGACCACACCCCTTCTCATTACAGAGATGCACATCACCTAATATGCTTAATTGGTAGTAGGCTTTCGAGCCTATACAGCTTGGAGTAAGACAACATGCATAAAGAGGATGATGTGGTCAAAATACTAATTTGCCTAATAATTCTGCACTCCCTGTATTGTTTAAGTATATTGTATACATTACCCTCTTTTTGTATGCACTATTATGTTTTATAGTATTTTGTGTAAAACTCAACATTTAGTAGCTATTCCCCCGTTATATCCATGACTTAGTGACTGTTGCAATTGGACTAATGCATATTTATGAGGTCTTTGGACACATCAAATAGACTATGAACATACTACTACTTGTTTAGATCATTCACGCCACTCCATGAGTTTAAGTAGAGACTGTGTACTATATAATACAATATATAATTGTAGTGCCCAATCAGCTGCTATAACACCATGTTTTTATCTCTTCAAATACATTTTACAAAGTTACAATATATCCAACGGTGTAGCGCTATTCATATAAATGGAAACTATAACGAAAAGGTGCCAATTCACTTTCTGTACTCTTTGTTTCGGTATTGTGTACCTTTAAGATAAAGAATACACATACTAGTGCAAAACCTCACAGACAATAGAAATATAATATAGTGTCAAGGAAACACTCACATATTCCTGAGCTATAAACTATAGCTCAAGTGGTAATAGCCTTTGGGTCCATTAAGGTGACCCTCACAGAAATTGTATACTGTTGGAAGGCGGATCTGAGGAAGCTGAGTCATCGGCAAAATGCGCTACCTTGCCTACACGTCATAACATTTGCATGCTGGTGGAAGCCACACCTCCCAGAAATAGCATAGCACCCAGTTTTTAGAGTCTCACAGAAGCCATCAACAGACCTGATATCCTGGTAAAGCCCTATGAGGAGAAGATGTATGTAGCCGAGGTCTTAAATGCCAGCCTGCATGTTTTTAAAGTGGAAGCTGAATAGAATTGTTTCTTTTACCACAGTCGTCACTTTGGTTATATTGAAGTGCCTATACAGTTAGAGCAGACTTCTCTGCTCTACACTTGTGAGTTGTATATTCTCCCTTACTCCTTTGCTATACTTTTTTTTGCAATATTACTCTATGTTTTTTTATATTCATTTTCTTACATGAGAAAATACTGGTGTGATTACTCATTTCTGACAATAGTATGTACAGAGTGTTCTCATGTAAGTAATACAGCTGGCATGGTCTAATATTTTTACACAATATTTATACGCTTGATTGTGTTTTATTGCACAGTGCACTTTTACATAGTTTTTGTGTTTCACTTTTTGTTTCACATTCATTAGTACATATTGTGACAAAAGTACTCCTTTCCCTTGGTTCCTTGTCCTGGGATTGGGGTGTTACACACAGTCTTTTCAGGCTTTAGAGACACTTCACACACTGGATGAGGTAAAAGGACTTGTTCTTTTTATTGTGGTTCCAAAATAAATGCACAGTAAGGTATAAAAGGTTGTAACAAAATATATAAAACAAAATCCTTGCTCTTCTGAGCACTAACTAAACAAAATAATTAGCTAACTGGGTTGGATGGCTTGTCCATTTCCCAACATAAACATAAGCAACAACCTTACTGTTTCATGGTTTTCCTCTCTGTTTCCACTCACAGAAATCAAACACAATCTCTCTCCTCCTTTGGCAGGGGAGTACTTAATAGCACCTGTAATTGACAATCCTTTTCAGGTGAGTTAAATTAGGATTGAAACTCTGGAACTGGACTTCTCACCTGTAGGTTCCAAGCAACTTCCAAAATGTGGAGTGGAGCACTGGCCCACCCTACTCTCCAAGTGCTCCACCCCAGGGCCCAAATATACACATATTTAAAGTGCAATATTCATTTTAACATAACACATTTCCCTGGGGCTAATTACACAAAGTAGGAACCTTGCAAAATCTGGGGAGATATATAGATTACATCCAGCACAATTCCTTGCTTTCGGTCACAATATATATATATATATAAAAAAAAATATAGGGAACAGAAGGCAAGCACTCACTGTGTTTTCTGGTCTCTTTAAAAGGAATTTCTTTATTTCATAGGTTAAAACTTGATTTGATCGACGTTTCAGCCAAACTTCATGGCTTTCATCAGGATCTTAACAGCTCAAAATACAACTAGCAAATAACACATTTATATAGCAAAACAAATTATACAATTAATAATTAAAACACTTACCACCTGAAGGCTGCACTGCTTCCACGGCGTTCTATCGCCGTCTCTGCGCATGCGTCAACCTGCCGCTACCCGGAAGTAGCGTGTTGACGTCATCGTTGCCGTGGATACCCGATATGTTTACCTAGCTCCACGGCAACCCAGCGAGTTGTATACTCGCTCTTACACAGTCAGCCTTGGCGATCTACTTCCTATATACATCAAACTAAACATTTAAAACACATATTAAACAAAAGATATTCAACTGATTAGAGGAGTATTGTTCATTTCTAAATCACATTCTTAATTATATTATTTCTAAAAGCTATTTACATATCGGATTCCTAGGCATACTCTTATAGAGTTAAGATCTTACCACCATCTCATCTTATAAATATTATTGGGTGTTATTAGAGTGACAACTACAAATTATATACAATAAATTATATTCCGATAACCTCAAAGTGCTAAACCTGCTATTTATGTACATTAAAGTGCTAACATTTGTATAATAAAGTGCAACATAATATTTTAAAGTGATACATGTGCTTTTTATATACACTAAAGTGCTACATGTGCTATTTATGTACACCAAAGTGTCGCTTGTGCTATTTATGTGCACCAAAGTGCTACTTTCATTTATACTACTATAAAGTCTCCTAAACACTAAGTACATTAAAGTGCTAACATTTGTATAATAAAGTGCAACATAAAATGTTAAAGTGATGCATGTGCTTTTTATGTACACCAAAGTGCTACATGTGCTATTTATGTACACCAAAGTGTCACTTGTGCTATGTGCACCAAAGTGCTAGTTTCATTTATACTACTATAAAGTCTCCTAATCACTATGCATTAATAATATTTTAATATTTTATACTTTTAAAGTGCCGAAAAAGTTATATTAAACTCTTATATACAAAAATAGTGAACTAATAAGTCTAATAGCGTTATTTATATACATTATTTACATAGAACCTTATTGTAGATTATATTGTGTATCATATCAATATGATTACTTAACCTATCTTGTCAACCAATTAAATTAATTCACCCCTCCCAGGGAAGATACTATTTTAAATAGGTAATTGAGTACAATCCTTTATCTAAATGGATAGGGTAAGATCTATCACCATGTTATTACATTTTTACTTTAATCCATTGTTAATTATTATTATCTATTCTTTTATGCTATAGGTCCTGTTTAAATAAATAGTATTATATCTCTATTATATTTTAATGTTAATGTATATTTATTAATAATAAATATATACATATTCCTCCTCTAATTCTAGTTAAAATATATATATGTTAATAACTCAAAGGAGGCAAAAAAAATTTCAACGTTACTCATATAAATGGATGATATGATATCATCTCATTCAGTCCTCTTGGAGCCACAGTGTCTAATTCCTGTATCCAGAATGTCTCTCTTCTCAACAGGGCATTACCCCTATCTCCACCTCTTCTAGGACAAGGTATCCAATCGATTGCTACGAATTTTAACATGGTCAAAGAGTGTTTATATTCTAAAAAGTGCTTCGCCACAGGTTTGTCTGTATGTCCATCTCTATAGGCAGTTCTTATATTGGATCTGTGACCCCTAATCCTGTCACAAAGTTGCGTTTCGGTTTTCCCTATGTAGACCAAGCCACAAGGGCACGAAATTTTATATATTACATAGGTCAACTTACACGTGATGGTATGGCGAATCTTGTACATCTTATTTTTATGTGGATGGTTAAAATTACGTGCTGGCACCATGTGACTACACGTCACACATCCTAGGCAGCGCACACTCCCTCTTATTTGTATTGTCTTCTGTTCAGTATAGCTCTCAACGGGGTCTGTTTTCATTAGTATAACTTTTAGGTTTCTATTTCTTCGATAGCAAATTCGTGGTGATTCCTTAAATTCTTTTGGTAGACTATTATCGCATGCCAACATATTCCAATTACGTTTCACAATGTTGTTTATTTTCTGTGATTTGCTGTGAAATGTCATAGGAAAAACCAATTTGGGACCTTTAGTGGCGTCTTGTAACGTGGTCGCATTCTCTTCTGCTTCTTCCAGCGCTTTATCTAAGACTCTTTCACTATACCCTCTATCTAGAAATTTCGTTTTCATTTCTTGTAATTGTATTTGTTTCGTTGTTTCCTTTGAATTATTTCTCATGACCCTGAGAAATTGGGCTTTAGGTATAGACTTAATCAAATTTTTTGGATGTGCACTGTTGTAATGTAATATGGTGTTCCTATCGGTAGGTTTAGAGTAGAGGCAATAGACCATTTTATGATCTTCCACGGATAATTCCACATCTAGAAACTGTACTTTTTCTGTACTCACATTGGCCGTAATCCGTATCGGTGTCGGAAGTTGATTAATATGTTCAACCATTTCTTGCGCTTGTGATTTCGTACCCCGCCAGATTATTAGAATATCATCTATAAAGCGAAAATACTTTATGATGTTCTGTCTGAATGGTTTTAATATATATTCTGTCTCAAAGATGTACATATATGAATTGGCGTACATGGGCGCCATAGCCGCTCCCATGGATGTCCCTGATATTTGCATATACCACTGTTCTTCAAAGCGGAAATAGTTATTTTTCAATGCTACCTCCAATAATTCCAGGGTATATTCAATGGGAGGGCCTTTATATTTTAATGAAGCACATAAGACTTGTCTCATAGCCTCTATACCACCATCATGCGGGATGATGGTATAGAGGCTACTGACGTCCATCGTAATAAGTACAGGTGATTCTTCTTCTATGTACAGATTTTGAAGTATTGCCAATAGAGAAGGTGTATCTCTAATACATGTATATAGATCATGTACTGTATCTTTGAACATAGCATCCAACCATTTCCCTATAGGTTGTAGTACACCGCCTATCGCTGATACTATAGGTCGTCCCGGAGAGTCTGTTCGACTCTTATGTATCTTGGGAATTGTGTACATAATAGGTGTCCTCGGATGCTTTTGTATTAAATATAGATAGAGGTTTTGATCTATATAATTAGCTCTCAATCCTATATCAAGGATTTCTTCCACACTTCTGTGTACTTCTTTGGTGGGATCACCTTTGAAAGTAGCACTTTGGTGCACATAAATAGCACAAGCGACACATTGGTGTACATACATAGCACATGTAGCACTTTGGTGTATATAAAAAGCACATGTATCACTTTAACATATTATGTTGCACTTTATTATACAAATGTTAGCACTTTAATGTACATAAATAGCAGGTTTAGCACTTTGAGGTTATCGGAATATAATTTATTGTATATAATTTGTAGTTGTCACTCTAATAACACCCAATAATATTTATAAAATGAGATGGTGGTAAGATCTTAACTCTATAAGAGTATGCCAAGGAATACGATATGTAAATAGCTTTTAGAAATAATATAATTAAGAATGTGATTTAGAAATGAACAATACTCCTCTAATCAGTTGAATATCTTTTGTTTAATATGTGTTTTAAATGTTTAGTTTGATGTATATAGGAAGTAGATCGCCAAGGCTGATTGTGTAAGAGCGAGTATACAACTCGCTGGGTTGCCGTGGAGCTAGGTAAACATATCGGGTATCCACGGCAACGATGACGTCAACACGCTACTTCCGGGTAGCGGCAGGTTGACGCATGCGCAGAGACGGCGATAGAACGCCGTGGAAGCAGTGCAGCCTTCAGGTGGTAAGTGTTTTAATTATTAATTGTATAATTTGTTTTGCTATATAAATGTGTTATTTGCTAGTTGTATTTTGAGCTGTTAAGATCCTGATGAAAGCCATGAAGTTTGGCTGAAACGTCGATCAAATCAAGTTTTAACCTATGAAATAAAGAAATTCCTTTTAAAGAGACCAGAAAACACCGTGAGTGCTTGCCTTCTGTTCCCTATATTTTTGTATACTTTGGCATTGGCTTGACAGCACCGGGCATAAAATTATTGAAGTGTATATGCAAGGAAGACAACAGGATTTTATATATATATCTCAACAGTTTCTGGCACTCATCCCGAAAACAAAATAAATAAATCGTGTCCAGCAATTACTAGGTGCCTCTCCATGCAAAAATATAAGCTGAAAGAATTGAGAGCACTCAATGGATTTTGTAAATCAATGTATTAAATATAACGCATACAAATCAACGTTTCGACCGTCTAGCGGTCTTTATCAAGACGGTCGAAACGTTGATTTGTATGCGTTATATTTAATACATTGATTTACAAAATCCATTGAGTGCTCTCAATTCTTTCGATATATATATATATATATATATATATATATATATGCACTTTATTATTGAGTGGATTATGATTTGGCACTCTGCAATATAGTAGGAGTTTTAAAGACACAGCACACTTTATTTTTATGGTAAATCTACATAGTGCTTACAATATGCTGTACAAAAAAATCCAGAAAATAATGTAAAACAAATACAAACAGTAAATTAAGGGAAAAAGAGTTAAGCAATAAGTATGCAGTGCCAGTTACATTAGGTGGAACTTCACACTAGCTCTGATATATTGGACCTGGGCCAAACAATCCCTGCCTAAGTATGTGATTTAGATATCTTCTTGTACTGTATGTGGGTCATCACCAACATATGAAACATAGACCAGAGTACAGGAACAAAATATAGTGTAGTATGTAAGGCAGTCTTTGAATAATAATGTATGTATATACACTGAAAATTATAAAAATTATAAATGCAACACTTGTTTTTGCCCCCAT